CGTTAGCAATAATCGAAGTTGAGGATAAGGAAGCGTTAGTAATAACCGAAGTCGTGGACGAGGAAGTGTTAGCAATAACCGAAGTTGAAGATAAAGAAGCGTTAGCAATAACCGAAGTCGTGGATCGACTAATCGGTAGGATAGATGATATAGCCACAGTAAAGGACGACGAAGTTCTTGCGAAGGTCGAAGTTGCGGATGAGGGAATACTAGCGGAGACCAAAGTCGTGGACGAGGAAGCGTTAGCAATAACCGAAGTTGTGGATCGACTAATCGGTAGGACAGATGATATAGCCACAGTAAACGACGAAGTTCTTGCGAAGGTCGAAGTTGCGGATGAGGGAATACTAGCGGAGACCAAAGTCGTGGACGAGGAAGCGTTAGCAATAACCGAAGTTGAGGATAAGGAAGCGTTGGCGAGAATCGCCCTGCCCGACGTTGATATAGAACCACCTTTTATCGTGGACGATAAGTTCGTCTCAGTTAAACCCGACTTGGTTGATCTTGCTGTCGATCGACCGGTAGATCTTGTACAAATCGAAGATGCGGAAAGTATAGTTCCACCGGAAGACGTAGCTTATGAGCAACAGAGATTTCAAGAAGTTCGAGAATATTTGGGGGAATTAGGCTCATTAGAAGAGCTGTATACAGATGACGGCGTGCCGTGTGCACCTACTTTCATATGCAACGATGTGGTGACGTCACCTACCGGTATGACAGATGAGGAACTTATTGCGTTGAGTGTGGAACATCCTGTACTAACAAAGGAACGTGATGAAACCGTGATTGCCGAGGAACGAGAGAGGCAATTTGAAAAAGAATTAGTAAAAAAATTAGACAACGCTGTTGACGAGGTTGAAAAAAGAGAAAAGAAAGAAGATGAAATCCCTGGCGTTGATATTGAGAGAAAAATTGTCGAGAAAGTGGAAAAACGGATCGCTGAAGACGTAGACGTTAGAGAAACTGTAACATTACGGGCAAGCGAAGAAGATGATGATAGGCCGGTAACGATGCCGAAAGACCGAGTGCCGGAAGTAAACAAAATCAAGGCTGCAAATGAACAAAATCAGGACATCGTGATACAACGGAAGACGATCCTATCGTGGATTGATGCAATCGATACAATTCGCACGACAGCAGCGGTATACAATTCGTATTACAATTAAAATTAAAGAAATATTGTAATTATATAATATACAAACTGTATTAATAGTTTAGCTAATAATATGACATTAGAAAAAGTTTAACGTAGTATTATGTAGCACAATAACTGCAGAATATATTTTTTTCATAGTAATATATTTCTGTTCCATATATTCAGAAACATCCTGAATGTCATGAAGTAGAGAAAGATGCTGATATCTTATCAGAACAAGTTGGCTCGTATATTGGGGTAAGAGATCAGATATAATTAATATTGTAATTTTCATTGTTTGTGAATAATAACCATAGTTTATGAGTAATGACAAATACAAACAATACTTTTCAATTCTCACTATATTTAATAATATCCATCTTGATATTTTACTATTTAATAATACTGTTCTAATTCTTTCCGAAGTATCACAATGCATATTCCGAAGATTTTTTGAACACGATGTCAAATTAATAAAATTTTCAACAAAAAACCTTTTTCTTATTTGAAGTGTTATAGTACTGCATATTTCGAAGATTTCATGCGCTAAACACGACGCCCTTACCAAAATTTATGTACCAGGACTTTTAATAAATTGGAGTAAAATGGGCCAAAAATCACCTCAATTTACTATTATCTCAATTTACTAAAAATTCTGATATGCTACGTCAATTTTGACTGCATCATGTTCAGTGTGAAAAAAACTTCGAGGTATGTACTTGATTGAGAAACAAAGTTTAGTTTTACCGTCAAAAAATGTTGAAAATGGCCAAAAGCACTATTTTTAGTCCATTTAATTTACTCCAAATCCTGCCGTAGTATGCAAGTTCTACCAACGGCATCATAAAAAAATGTTCAGCGCAAAAAATTGTCGGAATATGTATTGTGGTTCTTTAAAAAGAAAAAAAAAATCACTTTTTGTCAAACAGTATTTAATGTTTAGAAAAAAAAACAGTAATTAATGTTTAGAAAAATTTGTAAGAATAGAAATAAAACAAAATAAAAATGAAAAATTAATAAATGAAACTAAGTTACAAGATGAATTAATAATTTTGAAGGATAAAGAATTGAAACCTGTGATAAAAATGGATTCCGAACCATTCGTTGATGAAAAAGAGAAAGACATACCAACAGAAATAAAAATAAAAGAACCAACTGTGTACATAACCGAGGTAGAAAAATTCAAACCCGACAAATTTCCTGTCGCAGATGCTGAAAAAGCACCGATTACAAAAGCAATAGAAGAAAAAATTAAAATGGAAGAGCCTACACCTGTTTTGAATGGAAAAGAAGATTCATTGTTTTTGGACGCGGCAATCAAAGAAGAAATCAAAAATGAAAAACCCGCAATAAAAAAAGAAGAGATTGAAACCGCAGAACCGCTACCGATTGCCGAAATAGAAAAAAATGAAGTCACAGAACTGTCACCAATTGAGATCATGGAAAAAAAAGAAAAAGATGAAGCCGTAAAGTTGCCACCAATTTCGGATATAGTAAGAGAAGAAAAAATTGAAACCGTAGAATTACCATCGATTTCGGATATAGCAAAAGAAGAAAAAATTGAGGCCGCAGAGGTTTCACCGATTACGGATATAGTAAAAAAAGAACAAATTGAAGCAAAAGAATTATTACCACGTACGGATGTAGTAATAGACGAAAAGATTGAAATAATTCAGCCAATACCAACATTACCAACGATAAAAAAAGAAATGGAAGAGGAGATCGAAGACCTGGAAAAAATGCTTGAAGTAGAAATTAAAAAAGAAAAAGATGAAGAAATAGAAGAAGTTCCACTGCCGGAAGAAGTTATACCGTCTATCGAATTATTTGAAAAGAAGGAAGAAGAAGAAATACCTCAAATAAAAAAAGAGGAAATTCCGACAATAGCCCCGCTGCTCCAACCAACACCGAAAATAGAAAAAGAAGTACCAGAAGAGAAAAGGCCAGAAATGATCCAGATAAATTTAACAATTCCAATTGCTGAGATAAAACCGACCGAAATGGAAGTACCAGCGATACCATTCGATTCAAGATTAGTGGCACAACCGTATCTAATCATAGCGAAGATCAAAGAGAAGGAACTATTGCAGACTATACCCGCGAAGCTACCATGTACGGAATGTTGTTTGGTTAGTAAATATAATTCACTTCAATTATCGCTTTCTTAATAGTTATTAATAATTAACAATTTCTTAAAAACATTATAATTTTAATGTCTTTCTCTAAGAAAGAATAATATAGCTTTCATACATAGTATGGAAGCTTTAAATTATTCATAATTTCTTGTCTCGTTCTAGCACATATATTAATAGCGGCTGACCATTCTGAATATATGATTCTTTCACTTGCAGCAACCACCGACCGAGACCACGAAGCAGTTCGAGATTCCGCAAATTGATATACCTCAAATCGAAGTCGTACAAACCGAAGTTATACAATCCGAGGTCGTACAAACCAAAATGCAAACCGAGATCGTACAAAATGAGGTCGAACAAGCCAAAATTGTACAAACCGAAGTTATACAATCCGAGGTCGTACAAACCAAAATGATGCAAACCGAGATCGTACAACATGAGGTCGAACAAGCCAAAGTTGTACAAACCGAGAGCGTCAAAACTGAAGTTGTACAAATAACTTCGCAAACAATTTCGACCTCTGAACCGCCCCGTATACGAAATACTAGTGAATATTTAAAACCAGCCGTGCTAAAAGCATCGAGAACTGAAAACGCTGGCGACCGTCCTGAAATAACCGGCCGAAAAATGCTCTGGCGCAAACGCTTAAAGGACCAATCGACCGTCACGACTTCCAGCACCGGATCACAGACGGATAAAACAAGCCACGTTAGCCACGATCGAGTTGTAAGAGATGAAAGAGAACGCGCGAGAGTGCCCACGGATGAACTTTTACAATCTATAAAGATCGCCGCCGGGATAGCGCGACCGGACACAGAACGCGAGATTAGGACAATTAATTATGGCGGGAAGTCCGACGAAACGGGCAAAGCAGCTTGTAACTGTTGTACATGTGGTAAAACTCCAACTCCGCCGTCGACAAAATATAAATTAGAGGTTCAACCGCAGATAGATGCAACGCCTCCGGCGGCAGCTATGCTCAAGCGTATGTTTATTCGCCCTAAAATCGATCAACCGATATTGCATGATAAATTGTGTAGCGATTGCAAAGTGAAAATACAGAGCAAGATGCTGCAAGAAAAACACAAGAAGATCATCAAGAAAATTTCTCATGATCAGGAGAGCTGCAGCTATGTGTCACTGTCTAGTGAATCATACCGTGCGATATCTCAAAAAAGAGTAATCAAAAAAAGGGACCAGGGTTGCTTAGCCAAAATACCTAAGCAGAAGATTAATCCTATCGCACAAAAAAGAAAAGATAATTTACAGTCAATTTCAGAGGAAAAATCGACCGTGGAACCGCTATCCGAAAGTTGCATTTGCTTCAAATTAGAGAAAACTGGCGTAGAACCAATTAAAAAAGGAAACTGCTATTGTGGAGATTAAACACACGTATTTATCATTATTTTATTCAATCAGTCGTATAATAACATATATATTGTTTAATTAAATATTTGAGTTGATATTATATCGTAGCATTTATTTTGCCAATAATTTTATCCATTCAATAATATGAATAATATTAAAATAATACGCTACAAAAAAATATGTGCAGCCACAGTATAAGCTGTAAAAATGCTAGAAAATGCTATAAAACGTTATGATAGTGATAAAGTGATAAAAAGTTTGAAAGAGTGGCTAGCAACAGAATCATGAATAAAATGTGAAAAATGCATCACAGAATTTAATCAGAGTTTACGTGAGCGAACTCTTGTGTTAGATTTCTGGTTGAGACAACGCCAGTAAAAAATGGAAGGATATAAAAGATGAAAAAAGAGATACGTAGTATGTAATTTTCGATAATATCTTTACAATGATATACTATATGCGAACAATTTCATTATATGAATAAATGCTTCTCCTCGTGCTTTTAATTCATTCGCTGTAGCGTATAGTGCAACGATAAAATCAAATATTAAATTCATATTCAAATGTTTTTTACACATGTATACGTACTTGTAATATATTAATATATCGATTCAATTCAAAGTAAATAGACAATTCGAAAAATATAAACGTTTCATTTTAATCAGTATTTTAAAAATTTAAAAAGATTTTCCATGCAAATCAACGATTGTATAGACTATAGACAAATCAATACGGTTCTATATTAAATCAAATTCCCTTTCGTTATTCCTACGCGTTCCTCAGTAATTTCAATCGTAAATAATAGAAATCAAACAGCGCAGAACGAATCTATCCGCACAACGAATGTTTAAAGAATATCTAAAAAATTTACACTTTTTAGACATCCGTGCGATGTTTTCTGAATATTCTTGCCATCTGCAAGTATTGATCGGCGCTCCGTTCGCCTTTCATCCCAGTGTAATGGTTAAAATCGAGACTCACCGAACGTTGGCCAAGGTGTGCCTGCGGGATCGCAGGTTGTGGTACCCACGTAGCTCGCCGATGCTGCCCTGCTCGGCCTGCATCCTAGCCTGAGCCGTCGCGGCGGCAGTAGCAATCACGTGGTGTTGGTGCCCTCCGGGGGCTCCCGCCGTCGTGATGCTCCTACGAGAACGCCAACCCGATCTGCTGCCGCTCGGCGTAGGCGATTTTTTCGGTTGATAAGGTCTGAAAATGGCGTTGGAAACGTACGTTGGCACACCAACGTATTCATCGTGTTAAATGGCGAGGCAGACCGCGTGTATAATACATTATACATATACTACCGCGTACCAATTAAAAGCTCCTTAAATTATCATATCAATGAAATCGACCGAATTCCTATAACTTTATTATTTCTTCGCGAAAGCACTTTAAATGTCTTAATAAGTCACGATAATGTTTACTGTTGCTGCCAGTTATAAGGATCTCGCCCTTAATATAGTCCTTTATTTCTAACTTGCACTCTTATCTTTTATTCTTTCCAGTTTTTTCTTTTTCTTTTTTTCGCCTTACTTTCTTGTTCACTCAAAACGTACTTCAACGTACTGAATGATTCATAAGATTCTTCGTGTAGATACGCATGAAACAAAATATCTCTTGGCCTAAAAAAAACATTTTCCGCCAAAGATCTATCAAATATAATAGTACGGAAATGTGACATCTCATATAAAAAAGAGGATAGGATATATTACTTGTAATATATAGTAGAACATATTATTTGAAGGTTTTATCTTATCTAACATATAGGGATATGTTCATGTGAGCCAAGTCGTAATATCTAAATTCATTATACGTATTACAGAATTAATGCAGTAACGGCGCACATTCTCTTTCTCTGTCTCCCTCTCTCTAGACAACTCCTGAATTAATTACAACGATTAACTAGCTCGGATCATCGTATAAGGCTGTACAACTAATTGGCTGTAAAAGCTGGCCTGATAAATATCGCGCATTATATAAATCCGTAATTACAATTTATTCATTATCTATTTATCATATCAAACAATAACACGTTAAATAGGTTTCTCGGGAAACGTGCCAAGCTTTTAATCTGATTTCGATTTTGAAGGATCTCAAACATGATTATCAAACATAATACATTATAGATCGACGTGATATGAAGTTTGCCATGATAAGATTTCTACTTCGCTGGCTACGGTAACCGGATGTGCTAGGGAAATGGGCCATGACAGGGATAGCTGACACTCTGGACCTGAGAAACAGCAATCGTGTTGCTGCAAGGATCTTTGTTGTTCATTTTTCTCTTTTTCGTTTTCTTATCTGCTTTTGTCACTGTGCGTAATACAATACGAGAATGGCTGTGACAAAAGTGAAAAAGGCGGTTTTGTTGGGAAGCTGTCGGGCAGCGCATATAGTAAGATTTCTTTAAAAAATGTAAGACAAATGGTTACATTATTACAGTCGATTGTGTTTTGTATATTCAACCCACCTACATTCAATAATGATCCGATAAAAAAAATGCAACGCGGGCAATAATTCGAAACAAGATAACTCCACAAAAATATGTAACAAGAAAGTACTTATACAAAGTGAAACAAATAAGCTGTTTATAGAAATAAAAGCGACCTACCAAATAATTCCTAAATATATATAAATGGATTCTAAAGTAGATTTAATAAATCGTCCTAAAGTAGATTCAGAAAATCATTTTTTCCATATTTTTCTCTCCTCTTTTTATAAGCTGTTGCTGTCATAAATAAAAAATTAGACGCGTTGAAATTTTGTTAAATATATTTTTTGCTGTAATGGTGCGTAATAACATATTTTGCGAACCGTTAGATTTACGTTTAAGGTCATTATTTGTCGTTGGTTTTTGTATTTAAGACCGTTTATAATCTTAAGATGTCATAAGCCAATTAGAGAGCTGCATTAGCATGTCATATTAAGACATTATAAGAATGGACTATGAATACCGCCCTCAGAGTTATATTAGCATCTTAAGACATTACTTATTTAAGACGATATTAGAATAAGAATCAATTATGTATACCGATCTTAAACTATGTAATCCATCAGTTGCTACCATAAATTAGGCAGCAAAAAAATAGATTTAACAAAAGATTTTAACACATATAATTTTGCATTTGCAGTAAGACAGAAACTGCTTATAAAGAGATTATAAATAAAATAAATTTTAAGTAGATATATACATCTAAAAATAATTTTGTTGGACCATCCAAATGATTTATGTAGGACTTTATATAAAATATATATTATAAGTAATGTCGCATAAAATTTTTAACATTTTAGCAACCAGTTTGAACGTTCTATATAATTATGTTGATGGTCCAACAGAATTATTTTCAGATCTGTATTTAGCTACATTTTTAGATATTTCAACAAAACCTTATCCATACAATAATTTAAAAACAATAAATACATATATAAATATATAAGAAAATTCTAGTTCTAATTTTGCCGAAGAGTAATAAATACGAACACAGTACAGAATAAACGGATCGTGTTTGTCGACATTAAGTCCATCAATGTTATTGCGAATCATAATCACAAATCAATACAGATTATTCTGCGTATTAATCAAATCGATCCATTCGTTGCATGGCTTTCCGAGCATTAGCATTCATACATTACTTCCGCTGTTCTCTATATGTGCTTTGACGGGTAAAGGCTTACATTCTACGTCGACAGATTCTGAATTATCGCTGACAAACTAGTTCTATGATACATCCAGGTTGCATGAATACCGATGATGTATCGCGTATAGTGCTTTTCGCCGGTGAGAGAGAACTTAGCATTTTGATGCAATTGTAACTGCATTTTGTCAAAATAATACATGTATACATATGTCTGCGAACGTGCCGACATAATCCGAAGTTACAATATCTGTTAGAAATCAACATCGACATTAAATGATATTAGATCTCTCATCGATTTATCGCGATTTTAACGGGATGTGAAACATCAACAGGTTGCTTTATGACGCGGAATAAGGCGGCAGTTCGTGAGCGGTCAATGCATCGAAGGTATCGAAGGCATCGAAGGCATCGAAGGCATCGAAGCACGTGTGCCAATTTCTGATCAATCAGATTGATTACATAACGTAACACGAATTAATCTCACGAACAGAAAAGGAAAGAGAGAGAGAGAGAGAGAGAGAGAGAGAGAGAAAGAGAGAGAGAAAAATATATATATATATAATTTCTGACCCAATACGAAACCTCGACTGCATCGTTACATTACATAGCCATATTCTTGCACATATGCACGTATCTATCATCACGATGCGCTCGTATATACGTGTCTATAGACTTCTATAGACTACTAATTCACGAGACTAAATTCTCGAATAACGTCGAAGGAAATAGTCACTTTGTATTCCCACTTCTCTTCGTTCATATTCGCTGATATGGCTGCTTCACTAAAATTCCTTCTCGATTCCGATTTCAAATCACATATGCTCTGATGTAACGTTGAAGATGCGCAGTTGTATCCTCAACTCTCTTTAGGCCCATTCTCGTGTTCTAATTATACGCGATTCGCTTCAGAATTAGCTTACCAGACGGTCTATTTCGCGACGGACAAGATACCATTATGACGTCATAATTCAGATCTCACCCTCTAACAACTATCCCGCTCCAATTTTCAAGTCAAAGATAGACAATACCGCGAATTTAATAAAGTAATAAAAGTCTCTCGAGCGAGACTTAAAATAGCTCATGTATTACTTGGTACTCGCGAATCAATAAGATATATCTATAAATTAATCTTGGAGCACATGCCTTATACATGCAATTTTACAAAAAATCAGGACAATCGATATCAAACAGTGCTCACAGATACTCACACTTCACATTTGAAAGCGATTAAACCGATTATATTAAACCGATCAATGCATGAAAAACCCGCACTGATCCAGCTTTGCGGTAAAACAATAGAAGATTAACTTTTGCTTTTAGAATAATGATAGTTGAAATTTCTTACAATGCAAATAAAACAACATCATCAGCCCAACTAATTGTGACTGAGGAATAATTATTTAAGAAAAACATATATATGTTAATTTTTTTATATATATTAAATTTAAAATAAAAATTTGTTTAATTAAAATCTGTATAATCGAAAGAAGAGAAGAATAATCGATTAACAGCTCGCGATCTTCAAATTGTTTCTGCCTCATTACATCCTTAATTAAGCTCTTATAATTAAATATTCCCTACATTAATTACGTCAGCCGTTTTAGCTTTCTTGAGACAAGTTAATTATTGGTTCGATCATGTTCCCCTATAAGTAACCAGAGAAAACTTGCCTGCAGCTATGCCTCAAGTTCATATTTCCGTCTCAGGCATTTCTACTTTCTCAATAATATAGTGCACTAATTACAATTATAATTTTCTACGAGCAACTTATATATTACACGGAAAGGATAGTTTTATTGAAGTATCACGGAGAAAACGATTTTGTTGAAATATTCAAAAATTTAACTACAGATCAGAAAATAATTTTGTTGGACTATCAAAGTAATTACATAAGACGCTTAAAATGATTGCTACAATTTTAAAACTTTTTACGACAGTCTATAGTTAAATTTTTTAATTCAGCAAAACTGTTACAATTCAAACATTTCTTCAACCGCGCGTTCATCATAGGAAGGTAAATGCGTGCATATCGATCATTTCACATTTAAATTAGCTAATCGTTTGATAACTCGCGTGTGCACTTACATGCTTAATAGTAATAGCCATTAGTGTAAAACCGACAGTTGCTCATCATTAGTGTTAGGTCGCTATGAATTGCAAGAGGAAAACCGCAATCAATGCTAAACAAACAATATCGGGTCGACCACTTTCTGGATGACTCTATATCCTACGTACATAGATATATACATATTAGCTCTTTTAATCTGAAAATGTAAGAGCAGTGTTTAAATAAAAGCTCACATAATGCACTTTATGACATAACATTTTAAAATGATAAATGACTCAAAAAACAATAAATTTTTCTTATGTAATAAATATTTCTACTTAAATAATAAAATGAGGAAGATTTTATACAAAACATGTAATTATGGAGAATAGCTCAATGTTTACTCAAAATTATCTTTCAAAGTTTATTATTTGAATAATCAATCTCATTAGGCACATTAGATAATTGTGCTCAACAAATTTTGCCAAGTAAATTTTTGTCAAGTAACTTTTTATCAAGCAAACAGCCGTCGTATATACATATAAGATTGATAAAGTTAACACAGTATTTCTTCCGTCGCTAGCGTCATACGTTTCGTGTTATTAAACGTAGCATATTTAATCGATAGAGCCGATTAATCGAAGCCATATTTTATGTATTATCAAGGACGAATATCTTCGCAAATGCTAAGTATAATGGCAGGCTTTAAAGCTCCGCGCATCCGATACGTGTTCTTGTTATCCCACATCCCCCTAATTCCATTCGGTAGTGTCCACTCGGGGAAATTTCGGGCACGCTCTCGATGTTTCCTGCGGCTGATTGGATAGTCATGACGCACATACTACCCCAGCGATATTGAGCTATTGACCATCTTTCATACTGCAAGAAGCATACTCTCGCGATATTCCTCTTACTATTCATTTTCCTCTTCATTATTCATTTGAAACATTTGAATTTCTTATGTTTGATTTCCTAAATGGAAAAAATAAAAAACTAAATAATTGTTGTTAAAGTAGCATCTGATCAAAATTAATTTTTTAAAAAGCTTATTAATTTCTACATGCAATTGTCTCGGAACTCAAACTATTATTTTTAAAGTCTAATTTTTCATTTTTATTTTATGTTAAGAAATCTAACAAGAATAGGACACTCCAAACTAATGGTTCTGGAGAAAGATTTTGAATAAAACATGTAGAAATAAACATAATGGAATATTAAAACATGATATGTTTATAGTACAATTGTATATTCTCTTAACACAGCAAAAAGAAGCGGCTATATGTATATTCTTCCTTCTTCTTTTTTGTATCAAATATCTGTTTCGCCTTGTATAACGTATCCAGTATTAAATCACAACTAGAAACCGAACTACGTGTGCAGCGTTTATTTTAACGCGTCATATTCATACAAGCGTCCAAAGGACATTTGCGATACGGTTCACAATATCTAAAGAGCGAATCGACATTCCATAATGAAATTCAGTACGTCAAACGTGCTTATGCCACCAGCTTTCTTCTCAATGTCATATTGAATCCTATATTAACGTGATACATTAATTTCCACGTTTATCAATTATCATTTTAGCTCTTAGTAGATATCATTTTGGGAAATGAGTCATAAAAGCAAGGGAAGAGCGTCATAAAAGCACATTCGAATAAAAATATTTCTCTTATTTTTTATATTTTTCTCTTAATTTATAAATCGATAAATTTTCCTTAGATGCAAACAATACATTTTCTCTCATCTTTATTCATAAAATATATTCTATCTAAAAAGAAAAAGATTAAAAAGCTATATCTCGCGATATTTTCCTCGATCTCCGCGTTGGTGAAACATTTTAAGGTAAAGTGTAATTTAATCTTGTCACCGTTATTCCGATTCTCACAGATCTTAGAATTGAAAAACAGCGCGTTCTACATTCGATTTCCTCTCTATATATTTCCAATTCATTTAAACATATTCGATTCATATTTGTATATATTATAACTGTATTACGTACTCATAATTTAAAAATTAAAAATAAATTCATTGATAAAAAGTTTTCAGAAAGAAAAGTTTGAAAAGAACTAAGTAGACGGCAGAGAAGAATTATGAACGTTATTAAAATCATGCTTACTAGCATAAAAAAATTGTTAAATTGCTTGTACAATTTGGTAAGTGATATTACCCCTATTATACCGGTTCTGCTCATAAATGCGTTTCAAGACGATATGCACATAAATTCACACAGAAGTATGTATTTAAGATTCGCTTCAACTGAATTTCTCGTATTTAATTAAAAAAGAAGTTCAATAGTTTAATAGTTGATTCCAGATCTCGATATCGAGCTCCACAGGCAATTAGATATATCAAAAACGTAGGGCAAACCTATCCGAATTACTTGTAACATTTAATCTGATATAGCACATGAATAGCGAGCAGATAAAGTCTCCTCATTCCCGAGATTACCTACCATCGCGTAGCCAATCGAAGATCTTCTCGTGCCATTCTCTACGAGCACAATAACCGCATGAGTTCCATTGAATCGGGCGCACCAATCGGTGTATGAACGCGCGCGTTCCACATTTTGGTATTATCAAGAAAAAGCCAATGATCGAAGATCGTTAATACAATATTCGATATACGTTTCTTTAATTTTATCTAAGAAAAAAAGGAAGTCTGAATGAAAGGCTCTAATACATACAGAATTAGCATTCTAAAAGGAATTATTTATTAAATATTGTAGAAATCTTTATCGTTGTATCGACTTTTGTATCGTTGAGTAATTAAATTGTAATAAATGCAAATTGTCTGAAAACTCAGAGATAGATTCATCGTGCTACCTAATTATTTAGTTGCCAGCATTTTCGTACCACACAATTGCCTGTGCATAATGTATTAATAACTTTTTCTCTTTTCTCGAAACGAACGCTCTCGAAACGAAGGCTAAAACTAGATATAACTTTCGCAATTGTAATGCACTATTAAATTGAGTGAACAACAAAGTCAGGCGAGTAAACGCGATTTGACGTCGACGTCGATATGTGACAGATGTAAGTTTCACTGCATATGTGTACACATGACACTACAACATAACGCGTAACATTGAGAAATGTGTCGATGCAATGAAACTGTAAATCAAACACATATAGGGAAAGAAAGTTTGTCCACCAACTATAGCAAACTCTCGCAGCAACAGACAGTTTCAGTAGACATATTGTACATTTCGAATTAAATGTATAATGTAGAGAATGACAATTGAAAAATTTCGTAAATAATACTTATATATATAGCTTAACGCTATATCGTAAATAGATACAAATATAATTTTCCGTTAATATACACCGTCTGCTTATAATTTATAATTGCGGAACCATATTTCATGATGCAAAAATGTCATAGGAGAAATACGTTACGTCAAGTGTAAAATACTTAATGTTATTAATACATAACGTAATGAGAATAATGCATGAATTACACGCACATATACACGCGAGCTGCCGTCGAGTTAATTGCGATCATAGAGAGAAGCGCCATTAATTAATCGTGAAATTTAACGCATTCTATCGATATATAACCATAACAGAATATTTAATTAAATCGGCAATTAGCTACTTAAAGCTTGTTGTTTACACTGCACGACACGATACGTACAACAATGATATATACAATTAGTGATACAGAGCACTCTTAAAACTCAATGTCTACGAGCCAATAATTGCGCATCATGTGGATAATAATCAACGCGTTTAGTAGAGATAACAAATGAGTAACAATTGAATATGATACTATCTTATGCTGAGAACAATGCATAACGAACTTCAGAACCAGAGAGCCATCTAATCATGTTTGAGTGCTACTGGATTATTACTCAACTGTAATCTTCATTGAATGCACATATTGAGTTTGATTAATTGATACTGGCATAGCAAATCTCTGTTACAACAATCTCTGTCAAACTCAAGATGTAGTAATAGTCATTCCCGTGACATATCATGTAAAACGTGCGGCATAAACAACTAACTTCTAATAACGCTAGAAGGATCAAGATGAAATCCTGATACGTTTAGCGTAAATCGAAAAACTTACAAAATTAGATTAACGACTGACCGTTCTCGGATGTGACGACCCTCCTCATCGTCCTCCTCCTCGATGTCGTGTAGACGCGGGCTAAGCCGATGCTGAGTACTGCCCTCCCTACCGTAATCTTCTTCTTCGCCTATCCTTAGCTCACACTCCTTCTCTTCGTCGTCAAGATCGTCAAGGTCTTCATCGAGATCACCGAGTGGCGCACGTTCTTTAAATTGAGCCACGCAAATGCGTTTCGGTGGTTGATAAAGATATTGTTTCTCCTGTTGCAGAGCTTTCTGCTGTTGTTGATGCTCGTGTTGTTGGCTTCTTTGCTGCTGGTGGGGCTCTTGATAGTGATGCTTCAGCAAAGAACCCTTCTTGGTCTCAGGGGTGGCCCCCGAGACATCAACACCACCCCCACCCCCGCCGCCGCCGGCGCACGGCAGGCAGCAAGACCACGCGCCCCCCACCTCGGCACCCTAGCGCACTCAATATCAAAACATCCAGGGGGGCCAGCTGCAGCCAAGGTATTCCGTTCCAAGTCCCAGCAGAGACAGCGTCCGCGAGCAACGTGCTCGCTGGGGATTTAGCAGTCCCCAGACTCGAGTGAATTGTCGCTTATTGTCGAGTATCGCGATATATACAACGATACCCGATGCTATTTTCTTTGTTGACTCTTCATGTCACTACTCGAGACGACAAAATGCGGTTTTGGCATAAGTGCAAACCTTAAGTGCCCTTTGCTCCGATAAAGGCCGGTTGAATGTCGCCGTCTCTCAGTAACTTCTAGTACAATTCTGCCATTTGAGGTGCTTTGAAAGTTCTTAACATCCATATAAATGAGCAACGAGCGGTCGTCTCGCAGAGCTCAAACTGTTGATTTAATTTTTTCAGGAAATTCAACTGTTCCGTTGCTCCGTGCTTACACTCGTCGACGTAACGCCTCGCGAGCTGCATGATTTTTTTATTTCCTCAGAGCTCCGTCTAGCGTACTGTGCAAATTTCACACATTTTTTTCTCTCAAGTCACTCTTATAAGCTACGCAAAGTAGCTGTTCTATGGCGATAATTTAAATATGCAGAAAAGATTGTCCCTTTGCAAGGCTTTCGTTTATAAACAGATTAGCAATGTATCTCATTTCAATAAAAGCTATTTTTTACTGGCTTTGCCTGTATGACTGAGATATGTTTCATAAAACTGTAATCTGCAATGTTTGAATTACGTAGTTTTCGGAATTTCAAATCTATCTCTTTTTTTCTCTGTTAAAAATAATGGAAATAAGAAAGCATGTATTTCTTTCTCACCATCATTAATATATAAAATTGTTCAATATAATCTTAACATCAAAAATGTATAACATTATTCTGTCCTTTTTTTTTTTAATTTATTCTATCTCATGCAATGGAACATTTTAATTTAACGATCGTCAGGAAATTGTCTCTCACGTCTGAATATGCTCACACAACGAATATCAAACGATAGATCAACTGAATATCGAACAGCCAGTAGAATTTCCATCGTGACACATTTAGCATGGTACCACATAAAATTAATGATTCATATTCAAGCCACGTCCGCCATCATTTTTAGGTCGTTTTGATACATGGATTTGCCTTTTAAATATCATGATGAATTCCCTGTCACACTTTGTTATTTCTAAAAATTAAGAATAATCTCAAAAATCATTCATCATTGCTTTTGGAGTTCCAATACCTTCTTTTTAAAGCACTCCATTTCTTTATATCGACACGATATACACGCATTATTATTGTTATTATTAATAAATCAATTATGGATAAACAATATCTTCAAATATTGAAGGATCTCTCAATCTTTCATTTTTCGAACAAACACTCAGATTTTTAAATCATATCCTTACTCTCGATGTTGATTCTTTCGCAGAGTCCATTATTATACAACACCATCACGTAGCAGTAACATATTTACTAATGAAACGATTAATGGAGCAAGTTACCCTTTATCTCAAGGCTTCCTTTGATGTTGCATCGTCTTTCGTGTCACTCTTTCCCTTTGTCCTCTTGCCCACATGATTAAATCTATCTGCAGCTTTTCCATCTGTCTTTAAATAAAAGTAAAATCCTGAACATCATCCAAAGTGAAATAACTACTTCTTTCACAATTTCTTTATTCTAAGAAATATTTAATGGAAAATATCTTCTCTCAAATCTCCACATTTATTTTGCAAATTAAAAACTTCATCATTATTCTCTTGATTTACGCTCATGTGACCTGTCCTTGAATCTTGTCAGTATTATCGCGTCTTACAAAGTCCCGTTTAGTCACAAGAACACTAATCCCCTTTAGTCGACACTTACGCTGAGTCGCCCCAAATACCATAAAATGTTCTTAAAGCGCGACATCCTTATATAAGTTATTCTTACAACGTAAAAAACTTAAAATGAACTTGTCATTCTTTGACTTGCGCTCGAGTCTCCATTTTAGTTTCCTGTTCTCGTCACATTCACGCATTTCCTCCCAGCTATTCACGACCAAAACTAACCAGCCATTATGAGATAAACTGAACATGTGGAGTTTTGTCGTCGTAGTTGCCGTCGTCGAGACCACTCGCACCTTTTAATTTATTTCGTGCTCGTCAGAACACTCGGTACGCGGTTTAGGAAACTTTAAGACAACAAACCGCAACTGAGCTAGATATATCTATCGTCTCTTTGCATCTTCTTGTTTGTAATACAGTTTACTGTCAATGATGCTTACCGGTTTGCTCGGGTTGCTTCATCGTCAAGTCACTTGTTTTCATGGATAATAGAATCTACATATTATTACTTGTTGAATCTATTCTGTTATTATCGATTGTTGTCGTGACGTATAAAACTATGTTATCAACGATTTTGCATGTCGACATTTTCTCATATTTTTATTTCAGCGTCTTGCTGTCGTAGTTTCCGTAGTACGTATATTCCGTAGTACGTATCGAACGGATATTATCATGCTGTAGAAAATAGCGCTGAGATGGCGAGTCGATTTATATAGAAGAAACTTTAATTAATTCTTATTTCCGAACACACAGTAGACATTTGATTATAAAATTAATTATAATAGTTTATTTATAGATATGTCACGTCTATTCCGAACACATTTCGCTTCTAGTTAATCATACGCATGTTTCAACCACCCCTCATGTTAACCCACTTTTATCCACAACGATAATTAATAATATGTAAAATTAGCATTGCGAAAGGTCGTAGCAATTTCAGTCTATAATCGGAGAATGCGCGCAACTTTCTATGGCACGCGATCGTCGAATCGAACGCACTCTTACGCACAAAATTCCCATTTTGGCACAATGCTTGTGTTATAAGTCTAAATAACACGAACAAAATCACTCGAGGACACGAACGAGTTCTACTATTGTCGTTCCTTACGCTTAATCGTGCATTAAAATCAGTTGACACAAATGAATTTTCGATTTGCACTCTCCGAATAACTCATTACTCGATTCACGATTGCATCCCATTCACTCGTGAAATTATACTTTACACTGGAATATGTTCCGTTTTTTTTTTAATTTCTGTTTATACATAGAGTTATACGAATGCGTTTGACATATCGCGTAATTTTCAATAATGATGAATGAGACTCTTGATACAGAAGTCAGACCAGAACACGAAATTGATTGTCGATCGTTGAGAAGGTTGCACTCGGGTAAGTCTCGTAGAATAATTAGATATTGCACCGACGTTCTGTAAAATTTCGTGTAAGATTCGATACGATATGCTCGAGGAAAGAGCTCTCATTTTATTATGGCAATAACAATTCCTTCGCGCAACCGAGAAGAGAGATACATGCAAAAGTAAGAAATTATGTATCGCAACAATACCGAGACGTATGCAGTGCCACATATTGCCAATGATCGTGTTGAGATATTAATTATTCCATTCTATTATGTATATTGTCTCAAATAACAAAATCAAACACGTATTACGTTACACTATTACTTTCTTTCTTCATTGCGCTACTCAATCTTAAATAGAGTACAATCAAAAGATCAAATCATTATAATTAAGAGGCTGTATCACGCGCGTGCATTTAATCTCAATAATGGTACTTTATTTTAGCAAGGGTTTTCTTTGGCGCAGGAAGCGCTAGGTCATAAATTAAATGCAAAGGTTAAGGCTGCAAGCTCTGAAGGCTATGCAGAACGAAAAGACAAGCACGCAACGCATAATCCTATCACATTTCTCGAGGTGAATCTATGGTTTCAAAGCGAGAAATACGTTCGATTTTGCTGATAAATTAATGAACGACAAACGTACTTATGACAACGATGTTATTTTTAATTATTAGCTATATAATATTTATGTTCCATAATACGTGATTGCTGACAGCAATAAGAAGATTCACAAGAATTTCAATGCAATATTTCAATGCAACAAATGACGTCTCATTTTTATTTCAATACGTATGGCATCGTTACGTATGGCATCAAATCTAATATTCTTTGAAATCTTCTATTTATTCCTCTTATTACACACGTAAGCTTTTGTTAGCAATTATTAAATCGTCAAATTTCGACTTTCGACAAGAAACAAACATTAAAAAATCATCAACAAGTAATATCATTCTGTGATTACACTACGTTTTATCCTACACGTATAAGCTAAACAGACGAAATCAATCATTACAAGCCATTCGTTTTAATATCGTTGTACATTTTCTTTCAGCTATAAATCCTATACAAGTTGCACTGTAACATAATGGATTTTGTAGAACAATTGTAAAAGGATTAGTATCGAACAGGAGAGGTTCAAATGGAATACGTTCATACATGGGGAACACGACGAGTGAAGGACATTAGTAATTTAAAGGTCAGTAATTATAACCACGCGGAATATCCCAGAAACTATAGCTGCCAGCGATTGCAACATAATTCGATGCTAAATCAGTGAATTGAACATATAGTCATATATTGATATTGCAGGACGTAAATAAAAGTTTGTAGGTACTTTATAATAAATTAATATCACCCATTCCATTATCCGTTCTTTTCTTTTACCATCTTTAAAACAAAAATACTATATTAGCATTGAGACATTCGATAGAATCTTTAATTAAACATCAACTACTATCGCACAAGTATTCTATACTAATAATAAATATGCATTAAATAAATCCATAATATAATTATAAAACAAACAACAAACGAGAAAGAGAATTGAAAAAATTAAAAGAAAAACCAATAACGAATCGACAGTCGATAACGAAAATTGAACCGTAGAATACTAGAGATAAAAGCGTCTTCAGAGATTGTAAATTACATTCCTCTCTTGAGACTATACATATATCGCCGTGCAGCTATATCGAGCAGCGTAATATGGAAATAGCTGACGTCTCAACTAAATGGTAAACTACTCGTTTAAATTACAAGATAATTAGGAAGTGGAACAAACGAAAATTACAAAACAACGGCCATTTCATCGAAAAACCGGGATTAAAATCG